GTCGACCTAGGGGAGGCACAGGACCGGTTCAGATCGTGAGCGGGAATCGAACTCGACGCGTCTCTGTGGCTTTACTACGCTGCATGGTCACTGGGTCGGTAGCGCAGCGCGCTAACCGCCGCCCCACCGCTCCCCACATGTGTCGACTCAGCCTTAAAATGGGTATACCTGGTACTGTGTGGAATACACATCCGCACTGGGGAGACAAAGGCGGCCGGGCGTGGTGCTGGTCACCCACCCCCTCGTGTGCCGTGCCGGCCTTCATAGGTGCTCGCTCAGAGCACTTGCCCCAAAAACAGTATATTAAAATCTATACGGGGGACCTTTGCCTTTTTGGTGTGTTTCTATTAATTTCACTCCGTGTCAAACCAAGATGCGAGCTGAGTCGAGGTCAAGTTTTATTATTTTTGTAAAAATCACAAATTGAAATGAGAAAAAAAACCTCCTCTTAATTGGATTCATTGAGGAAATACAGACCCCCTCCCTCCCCCTTTCCCCACACTCTGTTTTACAATTAACTTTAATGTTTAACAAGGGTGGCTGAGCGCATTTACAACGCGAACGAACAGCGATACACGCGTTTTTGTAAAACCCTCCATCTCGGTTGGGATCAGATATAAACAAATAAAAAAAATTAGGAACAAACTTTATTTTACAGGGATTATAATTATAATAGGCCAAAACATCCAAGCGTGTGGCAGGACCCTCCTGCAAAGCAATCTTGAGACTCAGCGACACGCTACTTTCATATCGGCAATTTAAGGGGAATTACTACTACGTTGTGTACAGAATCAGAATATTTATTTGTCCTGGAGGAATCCGATGAACTATAAAGCTCCTATTCACAGTCCTGTAGGGGCGGGTCAGAACGTTACATCAAGAAATAATCCTAATGCACGATAGGAGTGAACATTCTAGTTCTTGCAATCACATCATTTTAAAAATATGTCTACAAGTAAAACTAAACTTGTGTTTTACATTACTAGGTAAGGCCCACTGAGCCATTGCAGTGCCCTTAATGCATGCTTGTACATGTGCATGTGTCTACATATATATGTACACACACCAATTAAACTTGGAACGTTGGGAGGCAACGTTGAGGCAACGTTGGCCTTTGGGGGTGGGTGGCAAAATTCGCTGAACGTTGCCTCAAAGTTGGTTTCCAACGTTCGATGTTAACTCGGTACACACGTACAGACATGTACAGACACGTCTACACGGGTACAGATACCCACGTGTACACATAAGTAGAGAGGCACGTGTAGCCGTGTAAACAAAAAGTCTTAAGAATCATTGGAGCTTCCCTGGGTATATTAAAAGGGCATTCTTAATACGAATAATAGTATTAATAATGGAGCGGTGGCGCAGTGGTTAGCGCACTGCGTTATGAACGAGCGAATAATCTCCGAAACGGTTCCTGGGAAACCTCCCCACTTCGACAACCCGCACTGACTAGAGTGGTGAAGTATAGTCAAACAACGGTCATGACCGACACGGCGTTGGAGAGGGGTGGGGGGGTGGAGTTTTGCTTCATCCAGCAGTAGATTCCGAGCGAGGCTTCTAATGGATAGCGCGCCACGCGCCACGGGGTAACCGCTCGTGACCTCCCCCCCCCCGCCCACCCCGCTCGTTGCCTTTGTTTTTCCTAATTTACACGCGCGCGCGACATTAAGAGGTCATTAGGGAGGGGGAATGCGAAGTCACGGACCGGGCGCCCGCGGTCCGCACCTGCCACGTTCCAGTTTCCATCCCTGTCGAGAAATTCTCTCCGCCCAGGTCCCGCTAACCCTCGCTCCCAGTTCCACCAAATCCCTCACTCCCAGGTCTCCCTGATCCCCCCCCTACCAGGTCTCCCTGATCCCCCCCCTACCAGCTCTCCCTGATCCGTCCCTCCCAGCTCTCCCTGATCCCTCCCTCCCAGCTCTCCCTGATCCCTCCCTCCCAGCTCTCCCTGATCCCTCCCTCCCAGCTCTCCCTGATCCCTCCCTCCCAGCTCTCCCTGATCCCTCCCTCCCAGCTCTCCCTGATCCCTCCCTCCCAGCTCTCCCTGATCCGTCCCTCCCAGCTCTCCCTGATCCGTCCCTCCCAGCTCTCCCTGATCCCTCCCTCCCAGGTCTCCCTGATCCCCCCCCCTACCAGCTCTCCCTGATCCCTCCCTCTCAGGTCTCCCTGATCCTTCCCTCTACGACCTCTCCAATCTCCTCCCTTACCAGATCCTGCTCTTCCCCTCTCTCTGCCTGCGACTAAATCGCCCTGAATGCATCCGGTCGCTTTGGACCTCCGAAGCGAAACAAGAACTTAAGTCTGTCCAGCACTTGGGATGGGGGCTTGCGTTGCCGAGGTGGTGACCACAAGATGCACTCAGCACATCGATGGATTCTTGAATCTATCCGTGCAGAGCTCTGAGCGTTATTGGTGCTGGTGTTCTCCGATTCATGGAATTGGCCAAAACATTTCAATACAGCAGGACCCTCCAGCACAACCACTATCAGCACAACCACCGCAACAATCACAGCAACCACTCCAACCGTCACCACGACCACCATCATCACAGCCACCACAACAATCACCCCAACCACCACAACCATCGCCACATCTACCATCAGCACAACCACCACTACAATTACTCCAACCACCATAACCATCGCCACAACCACTATCAGTACAACCACCACAACAATCACCCCAACCACCACAACCATCGCCACATCTACCATCAGCACAACCACCACTACAATTACTCCAACCACCATAACCATCGCCACAACCACTATCAGTACAACCACCACAACAATCACCCCAACCACCACAACCATCGCCACATCTACCATCAGCACAACCACCACTACAATTACTCCAACCACCACAACCATCGCCACAACCACTATTAGTACAACCACCACAACAATCACCCCAACCACCACAACCATCGCCACATCTACCATCAGCACAACCACCACTACAATTACTCCAACCGCCACAACCACTATCAGTACAACCACCACAACAATCACCCCAACCACCACAACCATCGCCACATCTACCATCAGCACAACCACCACTACAATTACTCCAACCTCCACAACCATCGCCACAACCATTATCAGTACAACCACCACAACAATCACCCCAACCACCACCACGACGACACCCTCACGACACCACCAACTCCACAACCACGAAGTGCAGCGGCACCAACCAAGGCACCACACAAACGATGACCATCACCAGCATCGTAAAACAACAACCGCCAACGGGGGTCGCGGAGATGTCACCACGACGCTTTGTGCCAGGCTAGGTGCACTTTAATGCCACGTGAAGTGAAAGCAAACAAAAACAACTCGCTGCTGACAGGAGGCTACGGACGCAGACCCCAAGTGCTGTGGCGTGACTGGTTGCGTTGATCGCCAGACGCGTGCGGTCGCGTCACTTACTCTTAGGTTTTTTCGGTAAAGTCACGTAGGTATAAATAATTAATAAATAACTAAATAATACAATTTTATATTAAACATGATAGAAATAATAATATAAATAAAATACATCTTATTTTTACCATTTTTTTTACCTACGTGACTTTACCGAAAAAAAGCTAAGAGTATGAATCCTTGCAGTCACGAAAGCTTCAAATCTAGAGTTGTGTCACTTGCTGCGGGGGGTTTTTTTTATCCGCCCGGCGCTCCGCTCGTTGTTGTGAGCGTCCCTCGTCTGCCCTCCACTGTTGCTGGAGGGCGACTGCCTCCAACTACCCAGTAGCAGCAGCGTCCTTCACGAACCTCCTCCTGTTCGAAGCCGATCCTGACACCGCTGGTACCGCTCATCGGCAAGTCCACGCAGCTCCATCTCCTTCACTACTTTGTCAGCTCATCATTTGCCAATAAAGACTCCCAGATGCGCCACATGCGCTCCACCCACATGCTGTGTTTATCCGCCGGGGCGCTCTGCTCGTCGTTGTGAGCGTCGCTCCTTTGCCTGCATTGCCTCTACCATCGCAACCACCACCATCATCATCACAACCACAATCATAACATTAGTAGCAGCAACGGCACCATCGCAACCACCACCATCATCATCACAACCACAATCATAACATTAGTAGCAGCAACGGCACCATCATCACCACCACCATCATCATCATCACAACCACAATTATAACATTAGAAGCAGCAGCGGCATCATCATCACCATCATCACCATCATCATCATCACAACCACAATCATAGCATTAGTAGCAGCAGCGGCATCATCATCACCATCATCATCATCACAACCACAATCATAGCATTAGTAGCAGCAACGGCACCATCATCACCACCATCATCATCACAACCACAATCATAACATTAGTAGCAGCAACGGCACCATCATCACCACCACCATCATCATCACAACCACAATCATAACATTAGTAGCAGCAGCAACGGCACCATCACCACCACCATCATCATCACAACCACAATCATTACATCAGTAGCAGCAGCGGCACCATCACCACCACCATCACAACCACAATCATAACATTAGTAGCAGCAACGACACCATCACCCCCACCACCATCATCATCATCACAACCACAATTATAACATTAGTAGCAGCAACGGCACCATCATCACCACCACCATCATCATCATCACAACCACAATCATAGCATTAGTAGCAGCAGCGGCATCATCATCACCACCACCACCCACTTTCATCCTCCCCCGCGTACCACGCCACCCCTCCTACACAGCCGCAGCCACCCTCACCTCCTCCGTCTCCCCTTGACTCCCCCCCACCCCCCTCCTCCTTCCCGACCAAGGGGACCCCCCTCCCCTCTCCCACCCCGCAGACTCCCACACCGCCTCCCCCCTCCCCGCCCTCCCACCTCCTCATCCCACCACCCTGTCGAACGCAGCTCCCCCCCCCCACCCACCCACCACCTCAATCATTCAAACATCACCCTCCACCACCACCCACCACCATCACCTCCACCATCACCACCTTCCATCAGAGATCTTAGGGACGGCGCGACCTGTCTGGGCAGTAGCAGCAGCAGCGGCGGTGGTGGTTCCATAATCGTTATCATCATTAACAGCAACAGCAGCAGCAAGCAACAGCACAAGACAGAATAAGTTGAAGCAGCAGCAACAGCAGAAGCAGCAGTGGAAGTAGCAACAGCAGTTTCAGAAGCATCAGCATCAGCAGCATCGAATGTTCCGCAATCATCGTCAGCTGCAGAAGAAAATTTAATTACAGCAGCTTCAGCAACAGCAGCAACATCAGCAGCAGAAGGAGGAACTGCCGTTCCGTTATCATCAGCAGCATCAGCAGCAGAAGCAACAGCAGCGATAGTATTGCCATCATCACCGTCACTATAATCATCACCAGCAACAACAACAACAGCATCATCGGCAGAAGCAACTTCGGTTCCATCATCATAATCATCATCAGCAGCATCAGTACGCAATAGCCCATACTCACCATCATAATCATCGTCATAATCACCATCATCATAGTCATCATCATCGTCACCAGCAGCGGCTGCTGCGCGCGCCCGGCCCGACAATGCTCCATCAACACCTTCCTCATCCGCATCATCATCTCCACCATCAACACCATCACCACCACCATCACCACCACCATCCCCACCACCATCCTCACCACCACCAGCAACAGCAACAGCACCACCACCACCAACAACACCTCCATCAGCAGCATCATCACCAGCACCATCATCAGCAGCAGCATCAGCAGCAGCACCATCAGCATCAACTTCAGCTTCCCCTGGCCGCGGTCCCGAGCGGGTTTCAGGTCCTGGGGAGCGCGACTGCGCCCGGGTTCGAACCCGCGGGCTTCGGGGTCCGCGGAGGTGGTGACGAGACGGCGAGTGCGGGCTCCACGTGCGCGGGTGAGAGACGTCGGGGAGACGGACACGGGCGACACCGAGGGACAGGCGCGCGGTGACACCGGGGTCACAGGACACGGGGTCACAGGGACACGCATGGGATGTGAGAGACGGCGATGCGAGATCGAGACGTGGAAGAAAAGTTGGACAGAGTTTCGGGGCACGCGAGACAAAGGCACGGGGGACACAATACGTCGGGACGCGGAGGCGTGGGATGAAGACGCGGGGTGACGGGGACACGGGGACACGGGACAGTGACGCAGGGACACGAGTTATGTGAAGGGGGACACGAGGCAGAGAGACGGGGACGACGCACAGAGACACGGAGACACGTGGACAACGCACAGAGATACGGGGACTATGCACAGAGACACGGAGATTACGCACAGAGACACGGGGACACATAGTCACGGAGACTACGGACAGAGACACGGGGACACAGAGACACGGAGACGACACACAGAGACACGGAGACTACGTACAGAGACACGGGGACACAGAGACACGGAGATTACGCAGATAGACACGGGGACACAGAGACGCGGGGACTACGGACAGAGACACGGGGACTATGCACAGAGACACGGAGATTACGCACAGAGACACGGGGACACAGAGTCACGGAGACTACGGACAGAGACACGGGGACACAGAGACACGGAGACGACGCACAGAGACACGGAGACTACGTACAGAGACACGGGGACACAGAGACACGGAGACTGCACACGGGGACACAGAGTCACGGGGACACAGAGACACGGAGACTGCACACGGGGACACAGAGACACGGGGACACGGAGACACGGAGACTACACATAGAGACACGGGGACTATGCACAGAGACACGGAGATTACGCACAGAGACACGGGGACACAGAGACACGGAGACGACGCACAGAGACACGGTGACTACGTACAGAGACACGGGGACACAGAGACACGGAGATTACGCAGATAGACACGGGGACACAGAGACACGGAGATTACGCACAGAGACACGGAGACACAGAGACTACGGACAGAGACACGGAGACTACGTACAGAGACACGGGGACACAGAGACAGGGAGACCACGCACAGAGACACGGGGACACGGAGACACAAAGACTACGCACAGAGACACGGGGACACAGAGACAGAGAGACCACGCACAGAGACACGGGGACACAGAGACACAGAGACTACTCACAGAGACACGGAGACACAGAGACACTGAGACTACGCACAGAGACACGGGGACACAGAGACACAGAGACTACTCACAGAGACACGGAGACACAGAGACACGGAGACTACGCACAGAGACACGGGGACACAGAGACTACTCACAGAGACACGGGGACACGGAGACACAGAGACTACGCACCGAGACACGGGGACACAGAGACAGGGAGACCACGCACAGAGACACGGGGACACAGAGACACAGAGACTACGCACAGAGACACGGGGACACAGAGACACGGGGACACAGAGACACGGAGACTACTCACAGAGACACGGAGACACAGAGACACGGAGACTAGGCACAGAGACACAGAGACTACGCACAGAGACACGGAGACACGGGGACACAGAGACACGGGGACACAGAGACACGGAGACTACGCACAGAGACGCGGGGACACAGAGTCACGGAGACTACGCACCGAGAGACGGGGACACTGAGACACAGAGACTACGCACAGAGACACAGAGACTACGCACAGAGACACGGGGACACAGAGACACGGGGACACAGAGACACCGAGACTACGCACGGAGACACGGGGACACAGAGACACGGGGTTACGCACATACACGGGAGCCAGGTGCCGAACCGAATATTCACTTTCCGGGGTTAACGGTTCTGGGTCAGAGTTAGGGTTAAGGGTTCTAATGAGGGGTTCGGGTCAGGGGTTAGAGTTAGTGTCTCGGGGTAGCGTTACGGTTAGGGGTTAAAGTTTGAGGTTAGGAGGAGATAGGATGGGTTTGTGTGAGGGTCAGAGTTATATTTGGATATTGATGGTGAACATTACGGCACTCCACGTACTTCCCACGTATGTAAGTTGAACTTCTTTCGCACCGTACGTAGCCAGCCGTGATAATCGGAGGTGCTCGGGAAGGACAACAAATTAATCACGAAGAGCGGTTCTGAAGAGATGAGTTTTCAATCTATATCAATAAGTGCTTAGCTCCAGTGACTTCCTACTATCGGAAGGAAGAGCGTTCCAGACGGCCGCCGAAGCGCGTCTGGAAGCGCGTGACGCGGTGACCGTCGTCTTTGTTCGACGGTGCTCAGCCAAAAACCGCCGCTGCTGCTGCTGCTGCTGCCGCTGCTGCTGCTGCTGCTGCCGCTGCTGCCGCTGCCGCTGCTGCTGCTACTGCTGCCGCTGCCGCTGCTGCTGCTGCCGCTGCCGCTGTTGCTGCTGGTGCTGCCGCTGCCGCTGCTGTTGCTACTGCTGCCGCTGCTGCTGTTGCTGCTGGTGCTGCCGCTGCTGCCGCTGCTGCTACTGCTGCCGCTGTTGCTGCTGGTGCTGCCGCTGCTGCTGCTGCTGCTGCTGCGAGGATGAGCGGAGTTCGCGCGATGATTGTTTATGCCCCTTGACCAGATCAGCAAGGTACAAATGTGATGATGATGATGTTGATAATAATCACGACCCCTGCTCTCCCTCCGAGCCAGGTTCCCCGGACCCCGGTCTGCGCGCCTGCAAGAGGCGTCGAACCCGAACCAACTTCTCCGGCTGGCAGCTGGAGGAGCTGGAGCGCGCGTTCGCGGGTAGCCACTACCCGGACGTGTTCATGCGCGAGGCGCTGGCGCTTCGCCTCGACCTGCTGGAGTCCCGCGTGCAGGTGAACCAACACCACGTGGCGTGCAGGTGAACGAACACCACGTGGCGTGCAGGTGAACGAACACCACGTGGCGTGCAGGTGAACGAACACCACGTGGCGTGCAGGTGAACGAACACCACGTGGCGGAAGACGAAGGCGCCCCGCGGGCAGCCTCGACAGACGGTTGGAGATGCGGTGGGGTGGCGATACGGCGCACTTAGGGGAGGGGATGGATGGGTGGTCAGCGCCACGCCCGGCCGCCTTTGTATCTCCAGTGCCGTTAGCGAGTCGCACGAGATGAAAGCCGGTACGGCACACGGAGAGGACGGGGGATGGGTGACCAGCGCCACGCCCGACCGCCTTTGTATCCCCAGTGCCGATAGTTATTTACGCGCCGAACCGGGCATTAAAGTGAGGCTCCGTCGACCGTGGGACAGATGGATCCACCGGGACCGGTTCACAGAGCCACCGCTGATGCTAGCCGTGGCCGGGAATCCAGGTGAGCGAGGTAGCCCGTGCGGGTTTTGTTGTTGTTGTTGTTGACGTCTTTCCCGGGGCACTGCACAAACCACTGAGCGACACCGCTCCTCTACGTTGGTACAGCACTGGCACCAATTTGTACGTAGTTCACTCCGCGTGGCACGTGCGGTGTTAGCGTAGGGCATTGCCGTCTCGGTAGATGTCTACTTTCACCAGACGATGACACACTCTTGCCGGGCCAAGGATGGTAACGGAGCGGGCAGGCAAAAGAAATGGAAGCCGTTCCGATGGGGCGGGTTCACCACCGAGGAGATGGAGTGATTAAATCGTCCAGCAGTGGATAGACCATGGGCTCACGATGATGATGATGATGGTGGGGAGAAGGAGGCCTTCATCCAGCAGTAGATAGACCATGGCTCATGTTGATGATGGGGAGGAGGCCGTCATCTAGCAGTGGATCTATCACGACTGCTGATGAAGATGATGTTGATGATAACTAAGAACTTTAGGTGGTAAAACTTATTTTTGTGTTGCCACTGTGGCGAGATGTTAACTACCTCACCTGGTATGCAGGAGGCCGTGGGTTTGATCCCGTCTCGGACGCCTGCTGTATATTTGGAGTTTGCATGTTCTCCCAGTGGTCGCGTGGATTTTTCTCCGGGTCGTCCGGTTTTTCCCTCCACATTTAGAATCAACTTCCGTTGAGAGTATTTGGCTGCTATAAATTTCTACGCGATGATAAGCCATATTCTGATGATAAGCCAACTTCGTTGAGCTATCATTTGTGGCCAGGTCGCTTCTGAAAAAAGCTGAACGGCCTAACCGGGTGAAATAAAAAATAGGTTTAATAGTTTAGTTTAAATTTATAGTTGATTCTATTTACTTTTTTGTCCAAACAAAATTACCTCCATAATAACGGCTATGGTAAAGTGTTTACCGAATATTTTTTTCAGGACTATATATGAATTGTTTTATCATCAATAATCATAACGGTAAAGTGATCTGTGTGTGTATTGCAAACTACTTTGAACAATTAAGACAAATTTTACTTAGAAATATTTTACTGTAATTGTGTATGGCCTCGACAAACATGCATAATATAATTTAGTTTTACTATGATGACCAGTACTGTATATTAAAGTTGACAATTATTTCGATGTTTTTTTCAATGAACGAGATATTTCCAGAAATATATTTGATTTTTCCATCATTTATGACGACAGTGGTGCAGTAAATATCACAATTATTACCTTTTTGGGCAACGTATAAACGTTGTAGAAACATTTCATGCACATGACAATTGTAATGGTACATTATACATTCAATTATTATTATTTTAAAATAAGATTCTAGATTTTTTGCCATTATGGTAAAAGTTAATATTTGACAAAAAATAATGTATAATCGTGGTTAATTTGCTGATATTTTTGGTTGTAAGAATATAACCTGTTGGTTGTTCAAATCACCGGTTCAGTGCATTGTTAAACAATGTACAGTATTCTAAGTGCTTTGGCTGTGTCGGGTGGTGGAAGGTCTTACAACACAAATATGGCAATATCATTACTCTACGTCGCCTAACCCCCCCCCAACTCCCCACAGTAAATTATTAATTGTGATGCACATTCTTTGGCTTTTTCTGTGCGTATTAAAATCCTATTTAATTTCACCATCAACAATGGTGAAGCTTAACCTTAAATTAATTTCATTATCAAGACAATACAATTGCAGCAACACAATACGTGTGTGTTTTATTTGTTTAAAATGTTTTATATGTATCATCAAATATAACTAATTGGGGGGGGGGGGGGTGAGGGGAGCGGTGGCGCAACGATTAGCGCACTTGCGCACTAAACTCTGCAGTAACCTGATTTCGATTCCCGGACGCGGCTAAACATCACCAACCCGCATTGACCAACGTGGTGAAGTATAGTCAACCATTCAGCGGTGCACACTATTGACAATGGTCTCTACAAACACCCGTACACTATTTACAAACACACGCAATCGTTTATAGTGCAAAATGATGGAGTTAGGAAACCAACACGGACGTTGATTTTTATAAACTCTCAGTTTCCAATCAGCTTTTATTCCCGAATGGGTGTGTATTTGTTTTTGTTATGAATCGTATTAGCTCGAATAAGTGATGTTTAAATGAATAAATTAATTAATTGACAGTATTGAGTAACTGGTGCACATTCCACATTCCTATGACGGGGAAGTAAAATCTCTCCATCGCATAGAATCGCGGTAGACTCACTTGATGCACCCATCATCCCTTCTGGGGGGGGGGGTCGATAAAAACGAGACCCACTTATTAGTTGGTCTGCTCTGTGGATATACTATTTCCTTCTGCCATAGGAATGTGGAATTTCCACCACCGGCTCAGGGCCTCTGAACAAGGAGATGTGGCTCTGTTGAGCAGGGCGTCACGTCCACTCTGACACTGTCACTTCACGTGCGTTCGTTTACTTGCCGCCGTTACGAGTCGTTGCGACGATTGCTTAACTCTTTCTATTGTTCACTTTCGTGTTTATTTGACTCTCGCTATCTGCCCGTTTGCCGTCTATACCGTGGGGGCGGTTTTGTACATCTATGTTTTTTTAAATGTCTGTTAAGTTATTCATTTGCTCGTCAGCATGATCGGGTTTTTTTTTTCTTACACCGTAAATGCAATCAACTGTCAATTTACCGTGGCACAAAATATAAATCAGTTTTACCAACTAAAGTTCATCATCATTATCAGCATCATCAGCAGCAGCATCATCATCAGCAGCAGCAGCAGCCATGGTCGATCCATTGCGAGATGAAGGCCTCCTCCCCACCATCATAATCATCATGAGCCACGGGTTCTCCACTGCTGGATGGAGGCCTCCTCTAAAACGCTGTCGCCATCCCTCCACGCTGCTGCCCTGGTTGCTTCCATCCATTCCGATCCTGCTCCATCTCCACGTTGATCTGTCCGCTTGGCCGCCTTCCCTCTGTGTGTGTTTGTTAATTTCTCTCTGGTTGTGTGCTCGTCCATCTGTGTACCCGGTTATCTCTGTATTTACTCACTATACCGTCACCTACGTCTTTGCGTATATGTATGCAGTGCATGCACGTGAGTTAAGTGATTTGCTCACCTCTTTGCGTACTTGTTTAACTCTGCAAATCTCTCTTTTGCTATCTCCCTCCCCTCCCGCGACCACCCGGCTCCCTCCTCTCCACCTCTTTCCCTCCACTCATTACCCTCGCTCGCGTTCTCAACCTTCCCTCGCCTCCGATTTATTTTCCCTCTCTCCGTCCCCCCTCGTCCTCGCTCCCTGACCCGCGTCGCCATCCACGTCCCTCCATCCCTGCCTCTCCCCCTCTTTCTCTCCCCCTCGCCGTTACGCCTCCCTTTCCCCTCCCTCTGTCACCTCCCCTCCCGCCTGCCCCCCCCCCCGCCTTCAGGTGTGGTTCCAGAACCGGCGCGCCAAGTGGCGCAAGAAGGAGAACACGCGCAAGGGACCCGGCAGACCGGCGCACAACGCCCACCCGCTCACGTGCAGCGGGGAGCCCATGGACCCCGCCGAGATCGCCCGCAGGGAGCGGCAGCGGCGCGACAAGAAGAGGAGAAAGCAGCAGCAGGAGCAGCAGCAGCAGGAGCAGCAGGAGCAGCAGCAGGGGCAGCAGCAGGGGCAACAGCACCATGGACAGCACCTGCAGCAGCAGGAGCAGCAGCAGCAGGAGCAGCAGGGGTCCACCAGATCCCCTCGCCACCCATCCCCACCCGCAGACCCCTCCCCAGGGTGCCGGACCCCCAAGCGCCGAGCCGTGATCCCATTCAGCGTGGAGAGCCTCTTGCTGCCCTCGCTGGCTCCGTGCCCGCGCAGGAAGGGGGCGGAGGGCAGGGAAGCGGCCCCGACGACGAGAGGCCTCCTCCTCGTGGAGCAGCCGCTGGGCTTCTTGGTGGAGCAGCTGGAGGAGGCGGCGATGTACGAGGCGGAAGACCGGGAGGAGGAGGAGGTGGAGGGGGAGGATTTGGTGGAGGTGGAGGAGGAGGACGACGAGGTGGTGCGGCAGAGACCCCCCGCAGTGGCCGCGACCCCGACCCGGAATCCGACCCCGACGCTGACATTTGGAGAAGATGGGGGGCAGGGGGCGGCGGTGGCGGTGGAGAGTGTTCAGTCGAGTGCGGTTGGCGAATGAACGCTGTCATTGCCACAAATCGTCACCGAGTGCGTCCGCGAGCACATAGGGGCGTTGGTGACCCACGGGCTATTGGTGGGAATTCCACGTTTCTATGACGAGGGCCAGTAACCTCGTAGGCAGAGCCGTCCCTAGGGTACGGGGGGGGGAGTGGGGGAACCGCCCTGGGCCCCGCGGTTGGGGGGGGGGGGGCGTGCTTCGACTTCACCGGTGTCAGATCCAATACTTCCGGTTTAGTTTAAAGGCGTCGGGCCTCAACCCCCCCCCCCCCCTCCCATAGACGGCTCTGCTCGGAGGACAACCGCTGTCGAGTTTTTGACTATGAGTGGAGTGATGGTACTGAATGTATCGACCTCCCCCCCGGGAGAGATGATGGGCTGAATAAGTCGACCCTCCGACCGTGCGCAGTTGGACTTCTGTGCTGCAGGTGAACGCTCCAGCGTTCGTGATTACGTTCATTCGTTACCAAAGCCCACCGTCTGCCGTTGAGGTGGACGTTAAAGACTTCCGCTTTGTCATTGCGAGCCACCGTTGTTTGGCTCTTCGCCCGCGCCAACATTTTGAATCTAAATTGAAAGAAAAATCTAAATAATTCTCAAGCAAAATTTATATTTATTGAAATTGTGTCCTGTCCGTAGCCATTCTTAACACTGACACAGCACAGCTTTTAAAATAAATATATAATAACATCGCACGTGCTGGGTGAATCATTACCCCGCAGGGTCAAGTCAATGAATATCTCTTTTCCATTGGCACGTCCAAACCGCGCCAGCACGGTTCCCTCACGGTTCGGGTTATTTACCCACTGGCTATTTGCCGAGCTGATCCGGAAACCCAAACCGGTGAGACTCTGCTCTATCCACGAAGACACCGGAAAATCTCGCTCGGGGCCAAGCAAGGCCAGGGGTGTCACGTGGAGCGGCACGGCACGGCACGGCTCGGCTTCTGCAGTGGAAAAAGAGATATAATTGAACATGGGACGAGGGGCGGTGTGGATGGGGGGGGGATCGATTTCTAAGCCAACGGTGGAAATTCAATATTCCTATAACGGGGGCGATGCCGTTTATCTGTATACACACTTATTTGCTTTAATATACACGCACGTGCTATATACAATATTACAATGCCCTTCATTTAACCAACTGTGGGGCAATTTAAAGCACCCTCACTCGCATCGTTTATATTGAATTATTTATATAGCAACCGTTTTAAAAACACATATTTTGAAGTCAATCAGAGTTCACGATGTTTACGCGGCTGGTGGTGACGATGTGTATCTAGCTCGATAAGTTTGTTTCGAGAGAGATGTAAGAAAAAAGTAACCGATCACGCAACTTTTAGTGATGTCATCAGTTAGCCATAGCCACTTACGCGATTTGCCAAAGCGTGTGATGATGATGATAGTGACGGTAATGATGATGGCAATGATGATGATGATGAAGACAAAGTTATGGATTTCAGAGATGCTACAGGTGTGTAGGAGGCAAAACAAGAACCCTTGCGAACCACGTAACAGGTTTTTTTTTAAAATAAGGATATTATATATGCAATTCTATACGCGTATACTTTATTATGCATACGGGAACGGAAACACCCCGACGTGTTGTTGCGTGCCGCGTGCGTTTTGAGAGTGGACTCGGAGCAGGCTGTCGCGGGACATCTTTATATAAATATAAAAGAGAGACGGTTTCATGAGCGCGACTCGTCAATTCATTCCGTGACCGCCAAGTCTCGCAACACCCAACTGGGTACGAGACGAAGCCCCCACCCCCCCCCCCCCGTGTGGCCTTCAACCGTGTAGCCTGTAGGGGCAAGTGCTGTTAGCGAGCACTTATGAAGGCCGGCAGGGCACACGAGGGGGTGGGTGACCAGCACCACGTACACACACACACACATACACGTGCACACATGTACACATGTACACAAAAACAAAGATCCCCGTATAGCTTAAACAGACTGTTGGGGCAAGTGCTTATCGCAAGCACCTATGAAGGCCCGCACGGCACACGAGAGGGTGGGTGGCCAGGACAACGCTCGACCGCCTTTGTATCCCCAGTGGCGATGTTTACTGCACACCGCACCAGGTACTCAGTTGAGGCTGAGTCTACCTAGGGGAGGCCCAGGACCGGTTCTGATAGTCGTCACCGGTGTTGACCGTGAGCGGGAATCGAACTCGGGTCGCCGGGTTTGTAGCGCAGCGCGCTAACCGCTGCACTACCGCACACACGTACACACGGAAGTGCACATACACACACGTGCACACGTAAGTACACATACACACACGTACATACACACACGTGCATACATACACACACGTGCGTACACACACGTACACACAAACGTACACATGTACACATACGTATACACGTAAGTACACATACACACACGTGCATACATACACACATGTACGTACACACACGTACACACACACACATACACACACACGTACACACACACACGTACACACCGTATTCTCCGGGTTATTAGGCGCTCCGTAAAGTAACACTCACCCCAACACCTGTTGTGCCCGGTATGTAAATAAAATGACACAAGATCTGATCCCGCGCTCAACATAGTAGATTATAAAACAAATCTATAAAGTTAACTAATTTGTAAAAAAAAAAAACATTGCGACGTTTCGGTGCAACGGCCCACCTCCAGGTCGAATACGCGGAGAGGTCAGTGGAGGGATGGAGGAGAGTGGACGATGAGAGTCGGAGAGTTGGAGACTGCCACGTGAATTGTTCAAACGTGATTTGAAGCTTTCGTGACCGCAGGAAAAGTCACGTAGGTAGAAAAATAAAACAAAATTATTATTATTTTAGTTTTATTTTTCTACCTACGTGACTTTACCGAAAGAACCAAAGACAATTGTTCAAACATGTTTGGCGACGACCAGATTCGTAAGCGGGCAGATGAACAGCGACACGAACAGTGGCGTTTGCGGAACGGCGGAATCCGATGAGCTGCAAAGCTCTTATTGACACATGTCCAGTCCCGGGGCGGGGCAGGAGGTTACAAGAACAAACAATACAAACACACACAAAACTCGAGTGCAAATTATGGGCTTCAAATAATAAGCACAAAGTGTTACAACATTGTTAAAATACGCAATTATACCGCATTATAAGACGCACCCAAAGTTTTGCTTTAAAATGCATGGGGGTGGTGGGTGGGGGGGTGTTTAGTGCGTCTTATAATCCGGACAATACGGCAACACACAAACACGGGTACATGCACAAACACTTCTAAACACATGCATACACATACAATGTATTGTGCGCCAAAGATCCGCCTAAAGCTACGAATACCATCTCGAGGCAAGTGCTGTTAGCGAGCACCTATTACAGCGCCGATATGTTGTCATTAGAAAGACCACGCCCGGCCGCCTTTATCTCCCCAGTGGTGATCATTCACATACCGCACCAGGGTCTAATTTAAGGCTGAGTCGACCCAGGGGACACCCAGGACCGATTCAGAAGATCGTCACACTGGTGTTGACCGTGAGCTGGATTCGAGTTCGGGTCGCCGGGTTCGCAGCGCAGCGTGACGCTGACCGCTGCACGACCGCTTCCCACACACTAAGACAAAGATCCCCCGTGTAGCCTTAACAGAATGGTGGGCGATGTTTCCACACCGCACCGGGTACTGATTATTTGAGGCTGAGTCGACCTAGGGGAGGCCCAGGACCGGTTAAAATAATCGTCACACCAGGGTGTTGGTCGTGAGCGGGAATCGAACTCGGGTCGCCGGGTTCGTAGCGCAGCGTGGCGCTGACCACTCCACGACCACTTCCCACACACGTATATAGACACCTATATAGACAGTACATTGCATGCCCACACACACACACGACAACAACAACAACCGCCATTCGCCACTAAGTGGCGGTGACGTCACCCTGACACTTGTGCCAGGCTATGTGCACCTTGAGGCCACGTGAAGTGTCGAACGCCCGCTGGCAGGAGGTCACGGGGCAGACCCAGGTGCCACGGATCGACTGACTGAGATGACTGGCTGATGCACACACACACATCCACGTGTACACACGCATTCACACAAGCACGCGCCTCTCATTTACACGGCACGAGACGAGGGTTCGATGCGGTGCGTTGTAAGCCGTGCGAGCTACGCGGCATCCGTCGCCATGTAAGTCACCCGTGAGCTGACGCGCCGTGTTGCCAGTCGGAGTTTGCGAGTTCGCTAAAACGCTCTCGACGCGCGATATCGTGACAAATCTTTTACGCTACGCGGAGCGTTAAAGATTTGGCCCAGTCCCCGCTTCGGCCAATTAGCCACGCACGGACTGCTGCTGCTACTGCTGCAGCATCAGCAGGCGCCACTGGCAGTGTACGAACGCCCATTTAAAAAGCCGGATCGGTCCACGTGCGTGTTGGCCCCTGATGACAATGGTCACTGGTGTTGGTCGTGATGACAATGGTCACTGGTGTGGTCGTGATGACAATGGACACTGGTGTTGGTCGTGATGACAATTGACACTGGTGTTGGTCGTGATGACAATGGTCACTGGTGTTGGTCGTGATGACAATGGACACTGGTGTTGGTCGTGATGACAATGGACACTGGTGTTGGTCGTGATGACAATGGTCACTGGTGTTGGTCGTGATGACAATGGTCACTGGTCTTGGTCGTGATGACAATGGCCACTGGTCTTGGTCGTGATGACAATGGACACTGGTGTTGGTCGTGATGACAATGGACACTGGTGTTGGTCGTGATGACAATGGACACTGGTGTTGGTCGTGATGACAATGGCCACTGGTCTTGGTCGTGATGACAATGGTCACTGGTCTTGGTCGTGATGACAATGGCCACTGGTCTTGGTCGTGATGACAATGGACACTGGTGTTGGTCGTGATGACAATGGACACTAGTCTTGGTCGTGATGACAATGGTCACTGGTGTTGGTCGTGATGACAATGGCCACTGGTGTTGGTCGTGATGACAATGACCACTGGTCTTGGTCGTGATGACAATGGTCACTGGTGTTGGTCGTGATGACAATGGCCACTGGTGTTGGTCGTGATGACAATGGACACTGGTGTTGGTCGTGATGACAATGGTCACTGGTGTTGGTCGTGATGACAATGGCCACTGGTCTTGGTCGTGATGACAATGGCCACTGGTCTTGGCCGTGATGACAATGGTCACTGGTCTTGGTCGTGATGACAATGGTCACTGGTGTTGGTCGTTATGACAATGGACACTGGTGTTGGTCGTCATGACAATGGCCACTGGTGTTGGTCGTGATGACAATGGTCACTGGTGTTGGTCGTGATGACAATGGCCACTGGTCTTGGTCGTGATGACAATGGTCACTGGTCTTGGTCGTGATGACAATGGCCACTGGTCTTGGTCGTGATGACAATGGCCACTGGTGTTGGTCGTGATGACAATGGACACTGGTCTTGGTCGTGATGACAATGGTCACTGGTGTTGGTCGTGATGACAATGGCCACTGGTGTTGGTCGTGATGACAATGGCCACTGGTGTTGGTCGTGATGACAATGGACACTGGTGTTGGTCGTGATGACAATGGCCACTGGTGTTGGTCGTGATGACAATGGACACTGGTGTTGGTCGTGATGACAATGGTCACTGGTGTTGGTCGTCATGACAATGGTCACTGGTGTTGGTCGTGATGACAATGGCCACTGGTGTTGGTCGTGATGACAATGGACACTGGTGTTGGTCGTGATGACAATGGCCACTGGTGTTGGTCGTGATGACAATGGACACTGGTGTTGGTCGTGATGACAATGGCCACTGGTGTTGGTCGTGATGACAATGGCATCTGGTGTTGGTCGTGATGACAATGGCCACTGGTGTTGGTCGTGATGACAATGGACACTGGTGTTGGTCGTGATGACAATGGACACTGGTGTTGGTCGTCATGACAATGGTCACTGGTGTTGGTCGTCATGACAATGGTCACTGGTCTTGGTCGTGATGACAATGGTCACTGGTGTTGGTCGTGATGACAATGGCCACTGGTCTTGGCCGTGATGACAATGGTCACTGGTGTTGGTCGTGATGACAATGGACACTGGTGTTGGTCGTGATGACAATGGTCACTGGTGTTGGTCGTGATGACAATGGCCACTGGTCTTGGCCGTGATGACAATGGTCACTGGTGTTGGTCGTCATGACAATGGTCACTGGTGTTGGTCGTGATGACAATGGTCACTGGTGTTGGTCGTGATGACAATGGCCACTGGTGTTGGTCGTCATGACAATGGTCACTGGTGTTGGTCGTGATGACAATGGCCACTGGTCTTGGCCGTGATGACAATGGTCACTGGTGTTGGTCGTGATGACAATGGTCACTGGTGTTGGTCGTGATGACAATGGACACTGGTGTTGGTCGTGATGACAATGGCCACTGGTCTTGGTCGTGATGACAATGGACACTGGTGTTGGTCGTGATGACAATGGTCACTGGTGTTGGTCGTGATGACAATGGTCACTGGTGTTGGTCGTGATGACAATGGCCACTGGTGTTGGTCGTGATGACAATGGACACTGGTGTTGGTCGTGATGACAATGGTCACTGGTGTTGGTCGTGATGACAATGGCCACTGGTGTTGGTCGTGATGACAATGGTCACTGGTGTTG